TGTATTTAGTAACCTCACCTGAAATGGTATTTCAACCAGTAGTATGGATATCATGTACGGAAAAAGTTTGAACCAACTGTTGAAGTGTTCCCGCTTCAACACCTTGTACTCTAATGGAACTGGAAAAACGAAAAAATAGTAATTTATAAATATTCAAAACAAAGAATGCAGATATAATTATTAAGATAATACTCACAAGACACGATAACGGCCATCTGACCAGTGTAAACCAAAAACAAATTGGTGCCGTACACAAACACCATATTGCTGATCATCACCGATGCATCGTTGCCCACGCCACGATATAGGTATCCAAAAATAATGGCAATGACGAAGTGTGCGAAGATCCGCAACATAAGGTTTGACTGAAATTTTTAAACCATGCGTGTCAACACAACTATAAAGTGGATGGAAAATTTTTCCGGAACTTCAAAGTCTTAGTCTATTATAATACGTGAAGTTGACACCACACTGATGACTGATGCCAGACTTCCACCAAATACATTTAACAATAATCATATAATTTTTAAAAGGTTATATAACCTGTTAAACTTAACTATCCGAGTTATGAATTTCTGGGACCAATTTTACATATTGTACCAGACCATAGCTTCGAAGTAGGTAACGGAAAATGATWTCAAAAAACTCTTATAAACTTGTTAGGTTTTGTTAGAAATGTTTAGCACCAGTGCACCACATGTCTACAATTCGGTAAGTGATGTCCAATAAGCACCAAATATGCTTGTTGGCCAAGTTTAAGGGTACAATACGCACGCTATCAGTAGGTAAGTATATTATGGTGTCAACTTCCTGCAGGTATTTTTTTTCCTCAAATTACTTCGATTAACATTATATTTTTTTGCTATGATTATRCACAGCCTAATTTCATAAATATTGTACATATTTGTTTTACCAAATTTAATCGTGCATTGCAGTTCGTTAATAATTGGATACATATTTTACTCACTTTGTTACGTTTGTACATGATTACATTTCGCAAATATAAATGATAAGCTTGTAAATAATATGGAGGTTTGTTTAAAATCTTGCTTTTGAGTGGCTGTTTCTTGACAACAATATTATTGTTTTTCAAACATGTGCCTGAATACCAAATACATTTTCACATAAATTAACATCATCATAATTCTTCATTACAATAAATATAAAGTAAACGCACCATTTTCTAGTTGTAATTCTTGGTCACCGGAAATTAAATGACAGTTATTGTGTTTCTTAATGTATATGGTTTTTGTTGTATCAGCCAGTTTGGCCAGTACATCAGTACCATATTCGCCTATTGCTACTTCGATTACTAATATTAATAAACAAAAAATAAAAATACGATTAATTTTRARTACAAAATAATCAATTACTCAAATGATAAAATAAGTCCTAACAACATTTCACTAAGTTTTTATCTCATAATAAATAAAATGCAATATTATTTAATTAGTATTTTAACTTTAACGTTTTATTTACAGATAGATGCATAAACTCTAGATACAAGTGATAACTATTTGAACTTATACATTCCGAAATAATTCAAGGTAGAAATTATAGTTATCTTTTACAATATCATGGATTTCATTCGATAAAAATTGTAAACATGGATGTTTAAAAAATATAAAGGYTAATAAGTTAAAATATAATACTTTTTGTARAATATTATTTCTTATATTGCATAACTGAATAATTGAATAACAATTTCAAAATCATATATTTAATTTTAAATTTGTATAATAAACATAATTTTTTTGAGAAATCCTGYGAAAAAAACTTAACTACTTAAACCTAAATAATTTTATATACTTACAGAAGTCTGCAGGATTGTGGTAAGGTGGACATACGATGGTTCGTTCGGCAAAGTAAGGAATAACTAAGTTGGGAGGTCCTTGGTAGATGCACTGGCCTGTACTCAATGCATAAATTTGGTCGAACTTTTCGAACAGTAAAGCACTGGGCTGGTGCAGTGTGCACACCATGGTACGACTTTGGTTGTGAGCTAGGTCAGCCATCAGGGTTACGAACTGGCTGCAAGATTGGCTGTCTAAACCACTGTGAAAATTAAGTTATCGTCTCATTATAATATAAATTTCATTTATAATATCTGTAGTATAATATAATGTTATATGCATGGGATTTTAATTTAACTCATAAAAGTTATGTATATTTTTATGCAACAAATAAATAATATAATAAGTTGATTTACGTGTAAACATAATTGCATTCACTGTTTAATTATGGACAATATACCAATAACGCGTTAATAGTCGTACTACAAATATATTTGTATCAACAAATATGTTGTGTATAGTAATAAGTTATACAATGGAAACAAATAGAACGATTTTGTTTTAAATAGAACTCAAAGTTCTAAAATATACATGACCATAATTATATAGGTACCTCGTTGGACCAATCACAATTTAAATATATTAATATATCGATTTTCATCAAGGTGTTGATGACACAAATGAAAAAAATATCTGTCGATTTATTGATGAAATGTAGCCAATTGGAAAGTCTCAATGTCATAAGATAAAAACATATTAGGAACTGTTTTGAGATCTCCACTAACGTTCTGGATGACGTCATAATGAATGAATCAGAGTAATTACAAAGAAAATAATGATAATAATATACGATGAAGGCATTGTTCCGTGTTAAACAACAAAACTGGTCCAACGGTTTTGTACCGTAATAAATAATAATAAATCAACAAAAAGTATACGTAAGGTTACGTAATAGGTTCTAAACGATCATTTTATAATAACCTGTACGTATTCTTGGAGTTTTATTCTTCTTAAGAGAATATTTATTCGGGTTTCATACTTCTTTTGTGTGTATTTTTACTGTAATCATTTATCAAACACTAAAGACAACACATATACCAGCTAAACGAATGTAACGTTAGGAAAGTGTGACCTTCAAAAAGTCACGTCATAACTGATCTGTGAAAAGTGTTTTTTTTAAATCCATTGACGATCATAGATATGTGTATTTATATAGTCATATTACTATATTACATATGCATAATGGATTTATTGTACATATGTATTAGTGATTTGAAAAATTGAATCGAAATCAAATAATTGTTAATTAAAATGTCTTCTTAAATGAATGAACAAACTGACAATTGGTGAAAATTTTTTTTTCATAAATTCATTTAAAAATGTTTCGTACAATGGGAAACATATTATACCGAAGTATATTAGTTGATAATAGTACACAATAATTCAATACTTATAAGTTATAAACTTATAAAGTTATAACTATATCATAAATAAGAAAAACATACACAAATTTGGGATTGCACAGTACTCCCAAATTGTTCACACAATGTGTAACAAAATAGCTGACAAATATTATTACTGACCATGTTATAACGGTTTGTTTAAAATTAAACTTTAAATCAATAAAAAAAAATGTGATTAAAATATTATGATTTAAAAAAAAACATCAACTCTTAGAATACCTATATTAATAATTAGTAAAGCATTTAATGTAACTATAATTTATAAGTATATTATAATAGGTACCTAATGTAAATTTATTGTAAGTGTCTATAATTATTAATTTCCATTCTATATTTTAAAAAAAAATTTTTTATTCACATTTATCWAATTAAAATAATCATACACCTAATATACATAATGTGAGAAACGAAAGATTATTTACTAAATTACATAATATTTTCACCTAATACTTCATGATGTGTATCGTAAAATGTGTGTTACTCACGTGGTTGGCTCGTCTAGGAATAATATCGACGGRTTGGTTATAAGTTCTAAAGCGATTGACAGTCTCTTTTTCTGGCCTCCGGAGAGCCGTTTGGTAATGGTGTCTCCGTGGATGGACAGACCCAACGCATCCAGCAGGTCCTCCACTTGGCCGGCCTTTGATGTCGCCGACACGGTTGTCGGTAACTTGAGGTGGGCTGCCACCGTCATCGATTCCCTGACGGTCAACAGGTCGCGCACGTAATCGTCCTGTTGTATGTAACAGCTGATGTTCGCCATTTGTTTTTCATCTCGCAACGAGTCGTTCAAATACACTTGGCCCGAACTTCCACTTATCCTGCAAAGTACRTTTAAATCGAGTCATCCAATATTATATTATATTCAAAATCGTATTTCTAAACCATAAAATATACGATTTTAAATAMTATAAATTTTCACAAGCTTTTGTTATTKTTATCAAATTTGTTTTAAGAAACGAAATTTATAAACGAAATTCAATGCACCCTGTAAAAAATTATCCAAATTAGACCACTCTACTATGGGTGAGAGTTTTTCTGTAAAGTTTGTTTTTAGTAAAAAATTATGTTTTCATTTTTGGTTGGCGGTGCCGTTGACACATGCGAGCGTGCAGCGTATGGGTAGATAGCCTGGTACCCACATACAATCGCGTTCACACACTCACACTAATCATCATTGAGACAACTAACACAAAATATTCAATAGGTGGTRGCAGATAAAATTGATATTACTTAAATATTGCCCCTTAATAAATACACACGATCAGGCTCCTTAAAATGTTATTTCTTGTCTAAAAAACAATAATACATAACAAATTCAAACACAGTTTTTCTATAACAGAAAATTAAATACTTATTAATAGAATAAATATTTATTTTGTTTCTGGGATGAGACGGGTCCGATTAAGGATTAAAATTTTGGTCATCAAAAATAGTCAAAAATAAAATTTAATTTGATTATTTTTAAATATTTAAATAAAAAATTGTCCAACATATTACAAGTTTTAAAATAATAATACTCATTGAGCATAAAAGTATTGTGAGGGGCTTCTTTAATAATATGACCTAGCCCCCCGTTCAATTGAAATTTACAATTAAATTATAGTTAATATTTAATATACATTATAGGTATGTAACAATACGTGTTATGTGATTATTATCATATTGTATCATTGAATAATTCACCAATAAAATATTGCGGAAATATTAAGTTGTTCCTCTTTGTAACTGGCAATTTAAGTGCAGATGTTGTCCGAACTACTTAAAAAATGCAGTGTGCGTTGCCTCCGAGACGTGTGATTTTAATTGGCCACGCTGTCGTTCACGGAAATCACATGTAGTTCCAATTATTGATATTATCATATAAGTAAAGTATGCACATCTTTTTGTAACGATTAATAAAAATACGTTAAATTGGTTCTTTATAATATGTATTTAACTACCTAGGTACTTACTTAATAAATAAATTGAGACATTGAGTACACCTGCCTATGGGTATTATTTCTTTCAGACAAAATAAAATAAGCATTTAAAAATCATATTTTTTCCATTTAAAATTGAATAGGTAAATATTGTAAAAATTCACTTTAAAGTCATTTATTAATATAGAATATTAATTATAGGGATCTAATTAGTTTATCTAGTTATTAAATATATTCTTCATCCACGTCAATTTTTCCAACATGAACTGTATATGTTTTGGATGTTCTACCATCTTTAAAGGTGCATACTACTAAAACAATGAGTTAACGAGGGTTATTCTAAAAGTATTTCAAGTAAAAATTAAAATGATTAACAAACGTATTTGAGCATTTTTTAAATTATTTGTAACTTGTATAAGTAGTTACATATACTTGTCTTGTAGAAATAAAATAACTGAGTCCAAAATACATAAGTATAATTTATTAATTTATGATAAGGTGATTAACTAATTGTTGATTTGAAAAATGTATACATAAAATATTACACGTGGCTTACTATTCACGTGCCTTAGTGTTTACTTGCATGTTTATCATGCAGATCTTGAACAAAACACAATAAAATGGCTATTGTTTATTGATACTTTTATTCGAAATCATATTAATTCATCAAAATACAAATCATTTAATAATTAATTCTTATAACATAATTGAATTTGTTCTTAAAATGTTAAAAATTATGTAAAGGTACACATCAAACTATCTTGGTTCATGTTTACATTTATAACTAACCAATCAAATAATTATTTAAACTGGAGTAAACAGTACACAAATTTGTTTGTACAGGTGCTAAATTACTATATTRTTATTCTATGAGATTTAAAAAACTATACAATTATTGCATTTTTATTTGTATTTGTTTTAACAATAACAATATGATCAACTGACAATTATTGTCATGATTGTAATTAAATAATAAAAGTTAGTGAGAAATTGCTATTTGATTATATCTATTTATTTGATTTATATAATCTATACAAATTTTGTATAATGAGTGTATATGATACTAAAAATGATCCAACACTGAAAAACAACTTGATTTGGAGAAGTYATTACTGACGACACTCGTTTTTTAGATGCAAATAATAATGTAGGAATAAGATACGATATCAGTTTCTTTTTAACTTCTTGGGGATAAGAATTTATTGAAATAAGTTTTTGCTAGGATCTGTGGGTGGGCATTTAAATAATTATGATAGCTAGTGTAAAATGTTTTAACTGTTTTTGCAATTTCTTTTATTTGTAAGTATGCATTTAAGATTTGATTTTGAACATAAATAAGTAGTGCATTTGTGATTGGTTGGAACTTTTTTTTTAGTTATTTAAAAATGTATTTAAGTCGGATTATTTAAACGGTTAGTAAGTTTAGACAGGGTTAATAAATAGCTTATAAAGATAAYGTTTTTTAAGAAATATTATTTTTACTTTAAGTAGATAAATTGTTTAAACAAATACAAATGCGAGAAATCATATTTTTTTATTTAACGACACTGACACATTTTAAACAATTGATTAGAATTACGAGAAGTAAATGTATATCTATCTTATTGTATAATATGTGTCTAAGCGTTGGTGATAATTTTAATAACTAAACCAAATCATATGGTCAAAATGCCCTATATATCCATGGGTATCTAGAACATAAATTTTTGTCACCTTAAGGTCGCATGGATACAACGTTAAGTGACAACCAAAATACTCGGTTGTCTTGTTTTACAAAAATTACATTTCCTACTTAGATTTTTTACTCAAAGAAAACAATAGCCCGTGAGCTAGCATTTATTAATAGTCGATTTTAATGTATTCATAATTCTTGGTTACATACCACGGTACACGACACTTATTAAAATATTATTGTTTTAATGCACTCACGAGTATCCGGCGAGAACGTTCAGTAATGTGCTCTTGCCGCAACCTGACGGCCCCATGATGGCTGTTAGTTCTCCAGACCGGAAACAGCCGTTGATGCCGTGCAAAATCTCTTTTTTTACTAAAAACGAAAAACAAATATTTACCGACCATGACACTTTAATTATACCTATTTTGGTACCTAACTTAAGTAAATCATTATAATTATTTAAATACCCATAGATCATTTGTAAATTAGGTTAATTATAACAAATAATATGTCTGTATGCAAACTGCAAACGTAACACACGTGCAGTATTATAGTCAATATTTTACGGTGTTAGGTACACTTCACTCGACGCTGTCGATTACATAAACACAATAATATAATATTTAGAGAAATTAAGTATAAGGATTTAAATAGACATCAGATAACAGATAACGGTTTGAGAAACTTTTGTATTTAACAAGCCTAATATGACTCAACATACACTTCAATAATATAATATATTATAGTCTATAAATATTGTCGAAAGTTGAAGCATATAGTTTGATCATTTGATGACAAATAAATAAGTGTAGGTATATGATTATAATTATTTTATACAACATTTAATAAAATCCAATATATTTAAAAAAATAATTAAATATCATTGAATTCGAGTTCTATTGGAAAACTGCGACTTGTTTTAATTGTAGAATACTATTACGATTATATTTATTTTCTATTTCGTATTTTAAATTACAAATTAAATTTGAAGTTCTAATTTAATCAGTTTTTATTTCGTACATTTTTTTTCAAACAAATTTTAAAACATATTATCTTATTATGAGTAGCTAGGTATATTAAGCAATACGCCAATACTTTTCTAGTTGGATAAAAATCGGAGATCAACAATATTCGTTTGACACGAAAATATTTGATATGAGGCACGAGCATTGATTATAAAATAGACCATAATGATACGAGTGATTCGTGAAACACATAGAGTAGGCATACAATTCTATAATGTTTTACGTGGTCATAATGTAGGTATTTATTTTGTGTTCAATCGTATTGTGAAAAAACTGTCTGACAAAAAAAGCCGAGCTCAACCAAGTACCACTGGTACAACTAATAATTTATCTGATACCATCCATTATCTTGATTCATCACCCACCCGGGCCTAAAGCTTAATTAAAAAAAAAAAACAATCAACACGTCCACCGTAATTTTTTTTCTAGAGTAGTCAAAGGTTGTTTTTGATTTGTATAACATCAATGTCACCGAAGAACGTAACGTAACGACTACCTTGTTGGATTGACGATCCGTTGTGACGGAAACGAATTTCAAGGCGGAAATCACTTGTTATTTCATTTTATATTATGTATGGTTGTTTCACTGTCAAATCAGATAGATAGTTTTGACTAAAAATTGTATTCTACTCGCAGGTTTTCTTTTATTTACATTGCACATTTCAAGGCTACAACCACAGGCGACGATACACATCACATATCTCTGATTATTATTAAATTTTTTTTTCTGCTCCGATAAGTATAATTGGAAAATTTTTTTACACGGTTATATTGAAATATTTTTGTCACGATGAAGTTGTATCATTAATAATCAATGGTATTAAATAATAAATATGTATATATTACAAGTGAATGAAAAAATAATAAAACATGATAGGTACACGAGTGAAATAGAGGCATGTTATATTTTTTATTTTYTAAGTATTTCCGTACAATTTTACGAATTTTACTCTTCATCGGCGCATCTACATARCATGGCATTTAATAAACAAGATATTTTTTTCGTTTTCTTCAATGGACAATAATATTATATCATATTATGATATAACATAAAACATCCAATCAATTATCGCAGATCGTACATGAAAATAATTTGGGTCATTCGATGGCCGTGACACTCAACTTGCCCGCATTATGTTTTACTGTATGCCTCCTCCTTATGTGTATATTATTATATTGTTCGGATCGAAGGCCGTAGACGGCGGTAACGCTTATCCCGAGATTATTCTGCTACCAGCAACTAGGATTCGTAAATAAACATTATACAATGAAATAAATAATATCCTAATTGAATAGTAAAACTCCAGTAGGATAATAATATTGTTTACGGTTAATMGTTTACAGTATAATAGYGTGTCTTCTTCACCAGTAACCATACAACTAGGTGACCTAGTCTWGGTCTTGGTGTGTAATATTTTATATTAAACGAAAGGAAAAAAATCTATAACTACCTATATGGGCTTAGGATTTTTAAATATTATGATCACCATCGCACGTCACCAAATATGATAAGCAGCACACTGAGAATTTATAATAATATTATCAATAATACTATGATATTATTAAGATTTTTTTTATTGTTTCAACAAAACATTAAATTTTTATCGAGTACCGCATATTATAACTCTCTTTATTAAAATAAAGTAAACACACAGTACAACTTACACAGACATATGAAATATTTTTACAGAGCGTACTGCGTATTAAGTTAGAATATATTTAAAAAATAATATAAACACAAATACATAATGTTTAGAGATTTCGAAGTAATTTGATAAGTTATATCCATAGCAAATAAAACCATTACAATAACGTTTATCACCAATAGTTTATTTACGGAAACGGCTTTGGAAAAATAGAATCAGAATATAATACATATTAAACTATAAAAATTGTATGTATGAGTACGATAACATTTTATATATTCAATTAACATGTTTGTGCATATATTATAGATTAGGTACATTATATCCTTTATTATGTCTATATATTATACGAATAAGAAAAAGCAGCAAACACTAGTATCATGGAATTATATCAAATACCATATAGTCTCGTTACGACAGCGACGTACTAAAATTAGCGATTAGATTTTAATTAATTGTATTTTTTATTATAAATAATACAATTTTTTAGTTTAAACCAATTATGCTAAAATATACATTTCATAATATAGTTTTGGTAATAATCAAGAAACAATTCCCATAATACAATTACAACATGTCAACATAAYGATATTGGAAACCATCTGAAATTCTAAAACATCGTATACCCACTACCCTGCAGATACCTATATATTATCGTTCGCAACCAATTTTATAAAAATGTTAATATATTTAATAATATGAAAAAAAATATTATAAGTTTCATTATCAAAAATAAATTTTGCAAATTTAGGTCTAAACGACTCATTACAATTTATAATTCTGAACCAAATAAAATATTTTTAATATTCAATCACATAATGTAAGTACTTAATAGTTACTACTCACGTCAAATTTATGAAGTGCAATTATAAATAGTAAAATACGTATTTTGTAAGAATTTTAAGTCTACTTTCGTTTTTCAGTAATTGTTTAAATCATATCATTCACTTTACACTATTCTTGGTTGACTGTACAAAGATGAAAGTATCATCATACTCGATTTGAAAGCAACTATAATCGCATTAAATACATATTGACCATATTGTACACATTATATATAAACATAATGGAGACATAGAGTTCTTCTATGTAAAAATTGAATGTTCACTGAATAAAAAAATTGTATAACCAATATTATCATTACGCATAGCTTAGATAGGTAGGTACTCTCAAAATCTAAAAGTGAATTGGTTAGGTTAGATAATAAATAAATTTTATAAAACGATGTCTAATACATTATGGTAGTAAAATCATTTATGAATAATATTTATAGGAATAAGTTATATAATTACATTTTAATCAATATACATTTTATTGAGAATCTTCAATATACAATAAATTCTCATAATTTACTTAAGATATAAAAATTAAAAATGTTTTTTATTGATATTATTTAGCAATGCAATACATATAACATTCCTATTACCTATAGGCTATAATATCATTAAAGTATTCATAGAACTTAATCTCTTTAACACAGTGCCAATAATTGGAAAATATATAAAATTTTCTTCTAATTCTAACCTTTACCATTAATTTCGTAAAATTATATAATTTTGATAAATGGCCGATTAAGTATAAGTGTTATTTACGAACATCTTTATAATACTTTTCTTTCGTGTATTTAAGAAGCAATTACTACGTGTATGTGATGGCGTTAAAACGGTTTAAAAAATGTAAACCATTTTAAAAGTTAAAACGATAATACTACGTAGTTTATGAATTAATAACCGATTTAACGCCATTATATAAACTTAGTAAATGATAGAAGCAGGAACAGAGATAAAAGTTTATTGAATTGAAAATGCGGGAATAATAAATTTGAGAAGTAGAAAGGTTATTAATAATAACTTGCTATTTTATCAATATTATAATTTATAATATTTTTAAATGTTATATATCAGTTAATTCTTCAAACCTGTTAGTATGCTATTAGAGTGTTTAAATGTTTTAATTTAATTAATTAAACTATAACTATTATCACTTTTCAAAATTCATAAACTTTAGTCACTCTGTTCAAAAAAATCCAATGATGTTAATGCTAGGTATGGTACACAATAGAAATATAATATAGATTTCAAAATATTAATGATTTCTAGTAACCCTGTGATACGTTTAAACATATACATAACTTTTCATAAAATATTAAATCGTTTATTATTATTTAATTATTGTTATTACTTTTAGGTAATATATTCTTATGAAAGCATCTGTCATAAAAAAACAGATATTTTATTCTATATTTCTATACTAATATACTCGTAATAKACCTCAATCATCATTATTATTTATTTATATGATATACTATCTACATGAAAATAGAATTGTTTGAATTAAAAATCTAGTTAAGACATTAAATAATTGAAATAGAACAATTCAAAACGTAAAACCATAATATAAATAATGAGATAGGTACAYGATATAATAATTTACCAGAAAGTTATATGTAGGTAGGTAGTTTAATTGTTTAGAAACATTTAAATACGTTTTCTAACATAATATGTTACTCAAGATAATTTTAGAATTATTTTTGGCATGAAGCTCCAGGGATTTGAATTAGTTGGCTTAATACCACATCATCTACAACACTATTTACGAACAACAATTATTAATAGCCAATAAGAAGGGGTTAGACGACAGCCAATATGTCTTTATTGATTATAATTTATATGCTTATCAACCAACAAGTTTCAACAGTATA